TCAATGTTTTAAATTATTTAAGTCTAAACATAAATCGGTCGAACATATTTTCTACAGACCGGCCTTTGGGACGCAATAAAATTTACCGTCCACTACGACAAATAACTTAGTCGCACAGTCGTATACATTATGTTATGTATAATAAATCAGAAAGGAGGACGGTCTGTGACTTCCACAAGTTACAGTAGGCTGGCGATACAAAGCATTTATCATTTACGAGGCTCACAAATGAACTCGGAATAAGGCCGGCGTCACACTGCGTGAAAAATCTAACGTGACATCTGTTCGAAAAACTTCGTAACTTTTCGATGAACACGAGTTATGGTGCACCTTTAATGATGTTCGACATTCATTCGTTGCTAGAGTTTAATGCTTTTTCAGCTACGAAAAATCTATTTTAATTAGAATAAAAAAGTGTTTCGATATACATAAAACTTACTCCACTACTATGGCTATTAATCGGAGTGTTCGCGTATTACGTGTACGCTTGTAACTATAAAATCGAATAATTATCGCTGTTTTATTTGCACTGTATACTGTCTTATAATCAAAGAATATTGATGCAATAAAAATCGAACTGAAGTTACCCTTCGCAAGTCACGCGCGTTCATGGTAATGGTTTACGTGATCTTCAGCCTCCATAGCGGGGTCTCGAGACCTTGCTGAAGATAATGAGCTATTTCCTTCTGTTACTTTTTACTATTCCGTACCGGAAATGGCAAAGGAAGCGCGTGGGATTGTAAAAACGGTAGCTATCGACAGCTCGTTTATAACGTCGCCTTTAAGTGTTATTTCCTTAATCTTATTGAAGTATAAAACAAGTAAAATTAAAATACAGAGCTTTTAAGTATTTTGTAGAAGTTATTGAAAACTAGGAATTCATCCGTGCATATTTCTAAACTGAGTAACTTCGCCACCACTCCACGCGACAAGCATTTCGAAGTGATTTTGTAGAAGCTAATTGGCAGCTAAATATAAAACGTATACAAATAAAATATTTGTTTCTCTGAAAGGGAGCGGATTTCGTCGCAAATTGCGTATACGCTTTCACGACGCTGAAGGGTGCCTCATTTGTTTTCTTTTTAACGCATTATTGCTATGTACGGCTCGAGTGACAGCGATTTTAGATATAAATAAATATGGTTCTTTATTTTTATGAGTCATCTGTAAATCGTGTCGTAATAGAAATGAACGTTAATTTTCTCATTTTTCTTTGAGTACTATAATTAAATATAAAAATCTTAAACAATGACAGTAATGCTATTTTGATATATGAGAATGTGGCATAAAATAAAATAAATAGTGCCTTTTAAAAAACTAACTTTATTTGTAAATATTACTAAAATCGCTCTAATTTAGTTGCATATTGTATTCTCTGTGGCGTTAGAAATGTAATATTTTATGCTATAAATAATTTTCCATACAGCCACTTAGTAACACAAATCGCTAACACTGCGACCAACCTTCATCGGGATTAACGATGGGTAATTCGCTCATACTGACTTCTTGTATTGCTCACTTGATTGATCGGAGACACAGAAGTAGGTTACTTTTTTTTAAATTGACGAGTATAATTAATTTAAATGATATTAAATACTTTAGGTTACATTGCTTAAGTAAAATCAAATCTAACAATAAATAAATATTGGTTCCTTTACGGTAATACACTGTTTTATCTATACACATTACTTCGCGGCGTTGGATGTCAGTAATCACAGCGTATTTTTGAATCCCTTCGAAATAAAAAAAAAACACGCTACAGGCTTTTCACGGCTTTTCACGCTATTAAATTTAAGGGTAAATAAATTGAAAATAACTTCATGTTGGGAAGGGACCACAAACTACAAGCAAGATTATTATTGTAACGATAATGTTGAAATTTGAGAAATTGAAACTATAAAATAAAGTTTGTATAATTTTACGCGGATGGAGCCGCACGGGCTTTTCTAGTAACCGTAATAATATTTTACCTGGAGTTCCTAGCTTTATTAAATTTTATCAATTGTTAACAGTTTCACTAAAATTTAAAGGAATACCAAATTTTTCTTTGACATAACAAATGTCAGTTAGTTAAAACTTTATAATTAAGGATTGAGAATCTGGAATACAATTTAGTCGCTAACGGAAAATAATAAAATAACTCGTAAAGTCGAAAACGACATTTCCTAACTGCTAAATAATTGTTTAAAATGAAAACAGAACAACATAGTTTCATCAGGGATTTTCAGTTACACTTTAAAAAACCTCAATTAAAGACTCTTATAAAATAAAAAAATGTATGGAGTCTTTTTTAAATTGACAGCGACTTTTGCTTCTTTATCTAATCAGGAGTTTAGTGGAGTCTACTCGAGGTAAGGGTATTTTACCCAAGGCGCTTGTTTTTCAGTCTTTAAAATGTTTGCAGCGCCACAGCCGACGCGGGGAACCATTTCTCACGTAAGCCTCTCAGAAGTGTGAGCTTAGCGATGCTCTGCGCCCCGCTTAATCTATGACCTCACTTAGCAACTGATTTTATCGAATAACAAATAGTTCTAACTCAAGTTTGTTTAAACTTTTTTTAAATAAAAATATTATAACGGCGTTTTCTTACCTTTTACTCATACTTTTCGTTTGTCATTTTTAAAATAATAAATTGTTACCGAATCATATATAAGTACGTTTAACTAAGTTTAAAGGTACAATATAATCAACAAAGTTCCTCAACATGTAAACAATTCATAATGAAATTCCTCTCCTTTATATAACTTTATATTTTAATATTAAAATATGGCGAGTTTACATCTGGAAAGAATTACCAAGAATATTCCAGTTTCCAGTCCCGTGCGCTCGGTTACCTTTAGCGCAAATTCTAACTTGCCACGTCTTATTCTGAGCCACTTTTTGCTTTGAAAGCAGTCGCCTGCAGAAATGTAACCGTGCTGTGTATGAAAATTGTTTACAGACAAAAGTTTATAAAAATATTCGCTCTCGTGTTACTTTTAAAGTAAATATTTTATAATAAATTCTCGCTTGATCAAAGTAGAAACGTAACACGAGAAATGTGTCTATAGAGTGTGAGTTAAAACAACATGAATTTAATATCAATAATAGAAAAGTTTTTAAATACATGTCAGATGAATAATTCCAGTAACTTTTCCCTCCCGCCATTTTGATTATTTGGGAAGGTAAACAAATTTCCTCTATCGAACAAAAGTAGGCTGTATCTGCAATTGCGGATGTACTTAGCAGCAGTCACTTGGCCATTTCAACAAATTCAGCTGGCCGCTTGCTCTTTACCCATCTTATGACATGAAAAATTGCATCAGCGTCATTTAGGATATCATTGTACGGTTTTCAATTTTCACCTTTTAAATAATTATAGTAATCAATGCGTAATCTATACTGATAACTTTAGTATATGAACATTCCTTGAGACAAATCACTGTAGCACTGAGAGCTCTGGTATGTGTTATGTTATTTTGCAGACAACCACGGTTCTAAGTGGAAACACATGCCGCGGCGATGTGGCCGGATGTGGCGTCACAACATGAGATACAACTATAGCGCTGTCTCCAACACTACGTCACAGAGTGGTATCTTAAAAACAATTGAAGAATGATACACGAAAGTTCATACATCAAAAAGAACCTTATCAATGCGAAAGGAATAAAAGTCAAACACGAACAAATTCCAAAACAGTACAATGATAATCTTATTCTTAAACGAACACAAAGAAGTATATTAATATTTTAATGAAATTCCACGTTTTGCCAACTACCTATAATGAAATCTATGTATTACATTGTGAAAAAGATCTTTTTTTAAATTAAGCCCAGAGAGTAACAAAGGTAACTTAGACGAGTGCAAATGAAAGTACGAATAGATTAATGAAAAAAAAAGTACGTATATGACTCTTGTTATCTCTACGTAGTGTTTATGTTTATACCTAATAAGGTACCTTTATTTAAACAGTAATTTCAAGACTGTTGCAACAATTTTGTAGAACCATAATAATGCCAAAAAAATGGTAATTAAAGATAACGAGTGTTTGAAAAGGATCGTTTGCGGTATGGGTCGGGTAGAGTTAGTCGGGCACTGTGGGGCGGGCACATTGGGGAGGGCGGGTAATGTCCGTCGCAACAATATTGTTGCTAACTTTCATCTCCACTTTGAAAAAATTCGAAGCCGTGTCGCGCTTTCTCGACACCATAGTGATGTGCTAGGTCAGCTAACGTTTGTGGTAGAAGAAATTAAAAAAAACAAAAACAAATCAAAACCATTGCCATTTATTAACAATTTTAAAGATTTTGAATTTTTCCATCTTCTCGGAGAAGACTTAAATTCCAAGATTTGAAAAGTGTGTTAGCTTTTAAAAGAGAACTTAATCCCTTTTAGTTCTTGGAGTATAAAGCTAGACTTTGAAAGTATTACGTCGGCAATCAATTAGCGCCGCAGCTAAGCTATCGACATCGGGCACATCCCTAGCTGCGGTGTTATTTCAGTTGGCAACTGCAGTTTGAGCAAAAGTCGGCGCTAACGAGCGGCCGCGGGAGATTTGTAAGCGCCTGTTGTTTGTCCAAATTGCCACCATATTTCAATTGCGAATTATTTAATCTCGCGACGAAAGTATAAATTATATTATACAATGTGCCCTTATACAGTTCATGCTACAATATAGTACAATGCAAGTTGCGGGTAAAAGAGATATTTAAAACATTTCTGAGTTTAGATAATTTCCAATCGTAGTAAATATTCTTTGTCTCTGAATAAAACATTTTGTAGCAAGTGAATGTCCACATTCAGCTAGTGACCGATTGAATTGGCAGATGTCTACGTTATGCGCACTTTCCCGGAACCAGTCTGCACAATTCATTTGTCATTTTTCACCTTTCGGAAGCCACCAGATTTTTCTAGTATATTTTCATTCCATAACATTTTGTTCGTTGGGGAGGTATAGTGTGCTAATAATAATAATGTACTAGAGGCTACACATTCTTTTGTTAATTAAAACGTTGTTGCAGTGTTCAAGTCGCAGACGTCGCTGTCGACGGACTCGGGTCTGTGCACGGAGCGCGGGCTGCGACGCACACACATCGAGCTGCCGAAGCCGCCCGGCAAGAGGATCGGACTTAAACTGGCAGGTAAATATTTAAAATCATATGTTTACTTGAAATGCAATTGTAGACAATAAAACCGTACTATCGCATAATAAATCTACATTTTAGGGATCACTTAACTACGTACGACAGTTAAACTTCTGTGAGTTGTTGTCTTACGACTGCGACTTCAATTAGTCAGTTTCGGTAGAATCGTGGTTAAGCGCTGGTTTATTTATGATAAAAAAAGTTGCCAATAAGAGCAGCCTTACTTTTTTAAATAACTTTTTTAATATCATCAACACCAATTCATAATGCTTTATTTCTATTACCATAATTGTAATTTAAACATAGTTCATTTATGTTTTTTTTGTAATCGATAGAGTTCTAAAGTTACATTTAAAACGAAAAGTAATAAGACATATGCTTAGCAATCTTGGCGCGATATTTCTCGCTAAATGGACTGGTATAAGTAAGGGCATGATAAAAAGTGAATAGACACAGTGTAGCACTACACAGATTACTAATTAAACTTAAAATTAAATATTTAACACCTAATTGTCCAGTTACTATATCTGTTCTATTTAGATTCCAACTTGTTTTAAAATAACGATATTCGTCGTGTAACAAAAACGTGTATTTTTGCTAAATGAAGTAAAAAACTTAAAAGTAGGTAAAACGGAGAAACTTTAATAAAAATCAAAAAGTGATATAAAGCATACATATAAAATACAAATCCATGATATGTTATAACATCGTAAATACATTTTACGGTTTGCAGCAAACACTAGGAATTCTCAACATTATCTGAAGTGGTTATTCTGTCACGTGTACTCTGTGGCTCAGACTTCTACTGCACCGCACATAAATCGCTGTGAGACCATAAATCCGGCAGCCGCGGAATTCTTTCAGCGCCATTTTGAAATTACAGCACAATTTTCGTCGCAAAACTCATGCCTCTGACGGCGGTACATTAAAATTAATACATTTCGCGAAAATACTATTACTTAAAGAATAGCTTGCCACAGCCACAGGCACTGTGGGAAATTATTACCACACTAATGGTTTGTGCAGATATTATTAAAACTTGTACTATGTTATTGCAAATTAAACACTGTTTAAACTCGTGTATTAAATCTAAACGCTGTCGTTTAAAACATACGTCAACGTTATTATAATCTATACTAATATAATAAAGCGTAAACACACATTACTTTGTGTCGTAAGATGTCAGCTATCATAGCATTATTTTCAATAATTCTTTCTTTAATTAAAATCCCTACACTTACCACACGTTCTAGGTTATATATTTTTACGTTATTTAACTAAGGGGTAAATAAATTGGGAAAAAGCCTTCGTGTAGGAAAGAAACATTAAACTATAAGCTGCCAACATTAAGGAAGCAATGTTATCATGGTAATGGTAATTTTGATGTTTGCAAATGTAAACAATAAAATAAATATTTTATTATTTCCCGCGGATAAAGCCGCATGGGAATAGCTAGTCAGTACATATTTTATTAACACTGACTTGGTCATAAAAGCTTGTTACTTGTAATTTATTCAGATTTTGTCGTTCAATTTTTAGATAGAGCAACGTAATAAGTAATTTTCGATCTCCGGCGGCAAACGCGGGCTGCGAATTTCTTTCCCATCCGGGTTAATCTCACCCTAATTTACATATTTATTGAACTTTTCGACTACAGATGCGATTAATCGATACGAGACTTTAGTATAATTTAAACAATAAACAATACACAAACCACAAAGTTATAAGAATCTAACTTAATGTAATCAGATCAACAACATAAAATAGCTCTTTGTAAAACAAAGCAATAGTTAAACTCGAACACTTTTAAGTATTAGAAAACATTACCTAATGACATCTAACAACTGTTCATTTATAAATCTCTTTTTACAGCCAACTCTGGAACTATTTCATACCTTCTTGTATTTTCTTACCAGTTTTACTATGACGTTAAACGGAGGATCGTAAAAGTTCATGAGCGCAAACACCTCGGCCGTGATTTTATTACGTGTTTTGTATCGTAAGGAACTTTAAAGTGATGGTAACAGATGTGTTTATTAAACAACGCCTGACCCGGGCCTGGACAGATTTAGCGTTGGTTTTCTTTGACGCGGTAATTGCACAGTAAATCTCTACGGACGGTATTAACTGGAGCTCTTTCAGCTACGTTGTAAGAATGAACTGATTTAAACAATGGATTGTAACAGTACTCACATATGCCATCTTTTAACTGTAGTACATAGCACAGATACGTAATTATATTAAGAAAACTATAATTTTTTTTATTCTTTGTATTTTAAGCTGTGAAGACCATATCTTTATAACTTACATATATACGCTTCTTAAGTTCTGAATCATAACATTACTGCATTGAATTAAATTAACGTAAATCGTTTTTTTTTTAATTAATTCGTACTGTGGAATTTTTGTTCTCATAGCATAAGTTTTTGTCACCCTTTTCAATCTGTAATTATTGTCTTTCCGTTTAACTTTAAAAAAAAATAAACGTATGATAATCACAATGTTAAGTTAAAAAGACAGCGTACGAAGGCAAGAGCCCTCATCTCCTTTGTGAGGTCGTAATAATAGAGTTTACGAGCGACGTTTCCTCCGCACTTCGCAGGGCAATTTGAATTTGACGCAGTTTGCGCTTTGCGTACAAAAACGCCGTAAACGCAGCGACTACAATAAACACCATCGTGGAAGAGCCTCTGCCCTCTTAACGACCCCAGCTCGTCTACTGAGAACCCTCTCCCCTCTAAACACATCTCGACAGCTGTGTGTACTATGAAACCAACATCTAAATATACTAGATGTGATTGTAAGAATTGCAAGAAACTATATGAACATAATAAGTCTATAGTCTAATTCACAGATTAAAAGTAAAACAACAATGCAAACATTCAAACTATTTTTATTAACACGCCAAAAGACGGAGGTTACCAATGGATCAACAGAGATGTATTATAGAAACAAGTGACATTTTATACATAGAACTATACTAAAATCTTTAACGATTTTCTTAACACATCGATAAGTAGTAAAGTGCAATAACATTGTCGCATCTGGAAAATCTTAGTCTATGCTAAACTATTTTTACTGGTTGTGGAGTACAAATTTAGTTCCCCCGCCGCAGCCGCAGCCGCAGCCGCAGCCGCGCTAATTGACGCTTTAAATCCATCCACGCCTTTCTGCAGCCGCTCGGCTCCGCTCACAGCGGTTAAGTTTTTATTTGAATGGTCTCGCGGAAGCCTGGCAATTATATTGTTGACCCCCACCCGGCGCCTGGCGCCCGGCACACGGTGAATAATGAAAAATCTTATGTTTAATTAGACGTTTTAATTAACCAAAAATACTGAGCCAGATAAATCAGTATTTAGAAATAATAGTTTAAATCTCATCATCAATATACGTCACCCCTGAAGGTCTCGGAGCCTACCCTAAGTTAGGAATGACTAGGCCATAATCAACCACGCAGGTCCAGCGCGGGTTGGTTGACGTCACATAATATTTATGTCGATGAAACCAAATTTTAACCTTAAAGTTCAGTTTACTTTTACTTTAAATTTAGAAAAGGGCAAAAATTATCTTGAAACGAAATAATTATCTCAAAATTAAGGAACATTTTATCTCGACCTCAAAGTAAGGAAGGATAAGGGAGTCACAAATTATACGGTATTAAGAAATTGTTAATCCCTAAACTTGAATTAGAAGTTGTTAGGAACTTTGTTGAGATCCGCTTTACTCTAAAAACCTTCCACGAAACAGGTTGCGACAACTCTTCCTAATTTGAAATTCAAAATGACAAATCTTACTAATATTATAAATGCGAAAGTTTATAAGTTTGTATGAATGTTAGTTAGAAGATATCTCCAAAACTGGTAGTCTAGAATAACACAGATGTGTTGCTATATTTTTAATTCCGCGCGGACGGTGTCACTGTCGAGAGCTAGTTACTGAATAATTTTAAAAGACATGTGTTTCCTTCGTTATTTGTGTTCCATGTATCCATAATTAATATCGGTAAACTATCAAATAACCGTGCCGAAATATCTGGAGTTCAAACAACCCAATCGTGGTAAAAAAAACCCGTATCTTACGAAGATTATATTTGTAAAAACCACTACAGTTTAATTATATATCAAATAATACTTGAAACATTTCCAATAAATCTGTAATACGATCTTAATTTGTTCGAAGTAATTAAAATAATTGTGGCGAGATATTGTCAAAGTTGATCCAGTTATCGTAAAGACAAATGCGGCCGACGGATCGTGACCTCCATCTCGTGTGATAGGCCTTACACGAGATTTGATTATTATAACGGTCTGCGGAATGGCTAGTGGGTTATAATCGATACGACCCTTAAGAACCTCCGGCCCCGGGTGTTGTATATCGTTATGAGATCATGAACAGGGATATACGAGTATGTGTAATTTATTCTATATCTTACGAAGATGATTCCCAACCCTTGGATATATTTGTAACTATAATAGTTTACTGCTAAAACTTTCATAATGTTTAAATCATAAACATTACTATTATTATTCTTAAGATATTGTCAAATTGCAAATGCCTTGTTTTTTCTATTCTTACTATTCTGATATATTTAGTGTGTGCATACCTGAAACTAAACTATCGCACAATTATTTAGTCTCGCTTTGATTCGTAGGAGCTTACTCGATGTTCAGTTGTGCAACTAAACAGTTGAATGGGCTGCGAAACAATCGATAATCGCACAACGGTTGTGTGACAGTTTAGGTTAAAATCTAAACTAAAGGCCCTCTCTTAGTGTCTATTTGACCACTCTGAGTACGGCATTTAGTTAACAAGTCGGCGTATGTCATCAATATTAACTGTAGTCACGCCACTTGTTTAATTACGAGTCGCATTTAATTTGTTCGGTTTTATTTGTTGGAACAATTAAGAGCGGTTACAAATTCGGGGCTCACTCGTCAAACGGAACAAACTACATCGGAGAGCGTTCATTTAATTAGTAAATTACGGGTTCCCGATTC